GGCCTCCAGTGCGGCGAGGAGCCCTCCGACGCCTTCCAGGGCCTCAGCCTGCTGCTGCTGCTGCTGACCTTCGTGCTGCCCCTGGGCGTCACCCTCTTCTGCTACTGCAGCATCTCGCGCCGCCTGCGCAGGGCGCCGCACATGGGCCGGACGCCGAGGAACTCGCTGCGCATCATCTTCGCCATCGAGGGCACCTTCGTGGGCTCCTGGCTGCCCTTCAGCGTCCTGCGGGCCGTCTTCCACCTGGCGCGTCTGGGGGCGCTGCCACTGCCCTGCCGGCTGCTGCTGGCGCTGCGCTGGGGCCTCGCCATAGCCACCTGCCTGGCTTTCGTCAACAGCTGCGCCAACCCGGTCATCTACCTCCTGCTGGACCGCTCCTTCCGAGCCCGGGCGCGGCGCGAGGCCTGTGGGCGCCGCGGCCGGCAGGCGCGCAGGATCAGCTCCGCCTCCCTGCTCTCCAAGGACGACAGCTCAGTGTTCTGGGGCCGGGTCCAGACGGCGACCACTGCCTCTGCCGCCCGATAACGGCCCCAGGCTGATGGAGGTGGGCGGCAGCGAAGCCGGGAGCGAGAAGGCCCAGGACCGGCTGGGCTCCCCAGACCTGCCTGTTCTGGTGCAGCCTGCGTCGCGCCCTGCATCGCTTTCCCAGAATCGCAGAGCTACCTGAACTCCCCCGAGGCAGGCTGCGGACACAGCTGTTCTCTCTGCCTCGGGGGCACCTGTGCTACTTTCCTCCAGTCGGAGAAAGGTTGGGGAGATGAAGCAGCCAGCCGCCTGGAAGCCCGCAGGCTCTCCAAGTTCAGAGTGCTTTCTCTGCCGCATCGCCAACAACACGCCCACCAGATCATCCAGCCCAGTTCCCCAAATGCCACTTTTGTCTCTGGCCATGCTTCCTCTGGTCCTCTAAATGGCCCGTGCCTTCTGAGAAATACGTTCTCCGCGTCTGACCCTCTGGCGCGCTAGCTCTCCGAAATACTTGACTGAGCGTGGGGATCACCAGCCCTTTTGGACTCACCTGTGGAGCTGGACTGGCGTTATCATTGCCACCATCAATTCAGATTTTCATTTCCAAAGCTCCTCAAAGCGTGGAATTAACCGCCCCCAACCTACCTTATGTCTTCGTCTCAATGGGTTCCCCAGAAGTGACAGGGCTGCTTTGGCTTTGTGTCTGGTGACCCTTCTCCCCACTCCAGCAAAGCTGCAGGACTCACCTTGGAAGCTGGTGTGGACAGAAGGTTCTGAACTCCCTCTCCATGTGCTCAGATCCACCTTCACTCAGCAGAGACCCCAGAATCCTGTATGCCAGCGCTTCCTTCTCAGTAAACACGTGTGCCAGTCCTAGCTTGTCGCGGTGTCTGCTTGAGCAGTGGGGGTGAAATGAGTGTCAGGAGGCGGGTGGCACAGCAGGTCAGACAACACTCAGCTCTGGAGCTAAGGCCGGCCTCCAGTGGTGACGGCCTGGCCCATGACAGTGCCTGGGAGCTAGGCAGGAGCTGCAACCCCACAGGAGGGCAGCACATCTCTTACTTTTATTATTTTTAAGGCCATTTCACATTTGCAAGGTTACAGAGGGGGGAAAAGATCTAAGGGGTCTGCCAACCAGGTGCCACTTCAAAGAGGAGACGTGCCGTTTTTATTCCCATGTCTGTATGGGTCCTCTTTTCCAACCGGTGCAAATGTTCGGGATCAGCTGTTTCCTAACTGTGACTACACGTTGAGCTTCCTGGAGGGTTTGGAAATTCACTCTTTACACTTTTGATATAAGAAGCCATCGTAGGGGACCAGAAATATCGGTGGTTCTGCTCCTGTGGAGAACCACATCCTTGCTCCGTCTCAGGCCAGTTGTGAGTTGCAGGTGCAGGGGTGGGCGGGGGTGGGCACTGAGGCTGCGCTGCAGCACAGGGCTGGGTCTGAACCTGGCTTTGTTTCTCGGGCTGTCTAACTCCCTCTGCCCCACCTAAAGCCCTTGCTTCTGGGGCTGTTGGATTAGAGCAGGTGGGATATTGCCCCACCTGGACCCCACCTGTCAGATTCCTAGGTCAGAGTGTCTAAAAGCACATGCCTGCCATCCACCAGAGAGAGACAAGTCTTGCAGCCCATGGGTGAGCCCTGGCAGCAGGGCACATTCCGGACACATTAATGTTTGAGAGTTTGGTTTTATCGTGGCCCTCCTAGCCTCGCCGCTGCTGTCTAATGCAAGAATTGACTATTTCTGATGACTGAGGCCCCAGAGTTCCTGCGATGGGGAAACTGGCTCTTCTCTGGGCATGTGGGGGGTGGGGGACAAGGTCTCAGAGCACAGAGGCGCACCCCTCTAGGCTGTTGGGATCCAGTCCCCACCTCCATCCCTGCCAATTGTTTCTCCAGATTGACTGACTAGGGGAGCTTGCCAAAGACAGACAGGAAGAAGTGTCTCCATGCCCTGGTGGGTTTCCAGTCCCCTTCCTGAAGTAGTCTTGACTCTCGGAGTTACCTTCCTGCTGGGGGACTGTGTACAACATGGAGAGAAAGTCTCCCACTTTGAGGAGATCCCTGAACCGGTCCACTGAGTGTGAGTCCCTTGGAAAAGTTCTCTGGTACTCAGACAAGAGTGACAGAGGACCAAGGAGCTCCTGTTTCCCCCCAGGGAAGGTGAGGCACAGATTCAGCAAGGAGGAGTTACGGGGAGCACTCCCACATGTGGGGCTGGTGGGAATACAAGTGGGGACCTTTTTAGAAAGCAATTTGTCAACCTGTACTGAGTGTTCATATTTTTCATATTCTACCCAAAAATATTTATATCCTTTACTCTGTAATTTCACTTCTAGCACTCTCCCCTAATGCGGAAATACAAAATGTTTGATGCTCTGAGTTATAGAAACTTTTTGTCTTTTCAGTTTTTGCCGTAGGGCACCTGGGTACACGAGAGAGAGAGAGACAGAGAAGGAGAGAAAAGGAAAGTGAGAAATCGCCCCCCGGGGTGGATGACCATACCACAATCCCTTCTTCTCCAGTGTCCTTGGGATTTTAGGCATGTACACACAAGTGCCTGGTGTGATTTTCAAGCCACTGGGTCTGGGACTTGAATTGCATAGTTGGCCATGTGGGATCCAGGGTCTTAAATTCCATACCAGCAACCTAAATGTCAGAGGTAGCATAATGTCATTAATGTGGCAAGCTGTAGTGCTGCTTTTAAGGTATTGTTGAAAGATTGCACATGCCCATACATGTGCTAAAAGATACAGTTACATGGTTAAAGGCACCACAGTTCAAGTCTGGAGGATATAAAATTGTTACTCTGGTTTTGTTGACATGAACCTTTCCAGACCTCATAGTCCTTTTGATAAAAACTGTCTTTTACTCTCTTCTTTCCTGTAGCTCCAGTTTTAAACTGCTTTTTGCACTTTTCTCTTGATGCTAACTAATAGAGTGCCATACATTTTATTTCTCTGTTTATTGTTTACCTCTTCCACCGGGATATGAGCTCCATGAAGACGGGGAGTTTTGTCTGTTAAACTTTTAAATGTCTAATACTGTTAAGTGTGTTTCTCCCATAAATGAGAGAGACAGAGCGGGCGCCCTCTGGCAGGGTCTCCACGCCATGACCTACCCCTGCCTTAGCCAGTCCTGGATCAGGCACTCGGGCCTGGTGTACTCAGGGAGGGCTGAAGACTCTAACTGGGAACTTCCTCATGTGATGAGCTTCACAGACGCACTGCTTCACTGTTACCCCACCATCTGGCCCCCTAGTTTTGTCTGTCTGACCCGATGCTGTGTCCCCAGTGCCTGAAACAGTGGCTGGCCTGTGGAGACACACGCCAGTCACCTGCTGCTGAGTGATCCCCAGGGCTGTGTCATAATAAGACAAGCTGTGATGTACTGTGGGGAGTCAAGGGACGGGCCTGCGCTGTGCAGAGCCAGGACAGCCATGTCTCACCCAAGGATGCCGAAGACCGCAAGGAAACATAGCAGCCGTCAGCAACGGTGCTTACAGGGAGAGTATGATAGATCCCTTCTTTATTTCTTTGTTTTGAAGTAGCCTATATGCTTTTATTTTATTTTTTTTTAATGTTGCCATAGGGCTGACCAAAAAGAGACCAAGAGAGAGAGTGAGAGAAAGCACCCGCACCCCCGTAGGATGGTCAGGCTGCAGTCCCGTCTCCTACTTCTCCCACCTTTTGGGATTTGGGGCACAGACACACATGTGCCTTGGGGGTTTTTCAAGCCTCTGGGTCTGAGACTTGAACCACTCAGTTGACCATCTAATATTTAGCTGCCTTAACCATCAGACTGCCTGGTGGCTCTCTATAAACTTTATTATTTTTTAGAGTTATTTAATTTTATTATTATTTTAAAATTTGACCAGAGATAGACAGTGCGGGGTCAAGGGAATGAGAAAGCAAGACACCAGGTCCAGGACTCAAACTGTGGTCAGACGTGTGGGAGTCCAGCACTTCAACCACCATGCCACCTGTTGGTACCCCAGCCTTTTTTTGTTTTTAAAGGGCAGCTAACAAAAGGCAGCTGAGACGCTGGAGCACAGCACTGGAGCTGGCTCCCCCTGGGTCACACTGGCTGCCTGTCCTTGGGCACTCGGCTTTGTTTCTTGGAGCCTCTTTTTGTTCATCTGAAGAAGGAAGGGATGCCATCTGCCAGGCTACCCCGTCCCGTGCTGGGGCCCAGGCCCTGGGGCTGCCCTGGGTTGTGAAAGGTCGGCACCTGGGCAAAGGCCGGGCACCCGGCGGCGGTTCTGATTTCTTCTGGTGACTAATTCTGGGCCTTCTCCTCACCTCCCGACCCTGCGGGTCTTTCTCAGGGCACAGTGTGGGAACCCTGGCCCTCGGGCTGCTGAGTGATCTGGGTAGTTCAGAAGAATGGCAGACGGGGGCAGAGCACATGGTGAGGTGACTCAGCCCCTGCCATCTGGGGACAGGGCGAGGACCTGGGCACTTATGAGGCTGCCTCGCTTGTTCCAACTTAGCAAGTCCCTGTCCCTGCCCTACCTTGGCTGAGTGGCCTGCAGGAAGACTTACACGGCCACCCCCTGTTCCCAGCCTCAGGCCCATGGTGGCAAATGATGGAAAGACAGGAAGTGCTTGGAATGGGGGTGGGGCAGAGATGTGAATCACCCCTCCTCTTCCTTACCATCAAAATCAGAAAGCGTGTACCCAGTGTGTAAGTCTGTCTTCCACGAAGGTGGACACTGAGATTCGTGCTTTCGTACGTCACACGACTCAGCATGCCCGAGAAGGAGGACACGGAGAGCTGAGACGGAAAGTCACGTGTACACGGGAATGGTAAGTGCCACTGACATCCACGCAGCGTGTCACCAACTGGGCAAAGCACATAAGCTGATTTCACGGACTCTCCCGACCTCGTGGCAGGCAGGAATGATTAACTTTGGTTTATTGCTGAGGAGACTGAGGCACAGGAGTGAGGCGGCCCAGGGAAGCCACAGACCTTCAGACAGGACAGCTTGTCCTATGTTCCTCGCCTGCCCATCTTGCCCCTGCCGCCCCATCCTGCTTGATGGGCGAAGAAGCGCTTTTTCCATTTAACCCAGCTCGCAGTGGGTGACTCTCTGACCCGGTCTCACCAGGGGCGCTGGGAGCAGGGCAGGGAGAAGGGGTGTTAACCTGTACCCAGGGTGGCCTGGGTGGTCCTGCCTGCACTGAGAGAGCTGGGCAAGGCTGGGCTAGGCTTCCGCGGGCAACGGAGCCCAGAGCGCAGGCACGAGACAACGGCTGCCAGGGCCGGGTGGAGGCTGTGGTTTGCCCCGGAGATGTGCTAGACAAGGCTGATTAATCAGCTCACCCCACTGTGCGAATGAGTGTCCCCACCGTGTGCCTGCTCACCACCTCCCTCTACTCTCCACCTCTGCCCTTGAATGACCCAAAGCAAGCTGTCCTGCCCGGGATCGCCCCTACTCTGGACCCTATGAAGGCCCTGGGATAGTGTCGGTCACCTAACTAGGCTCACCTAATTATGTCCCTTTTAACAAAGTCTTCTGTATATATCCTGTTGCCCCAAATCTTCCTGGGTCTCAGTGTCTGCAAGTATGGTCACCATAAAGAGAGAAAACATGGTATTGGGGTAAAATCATTCAGGTCCCTCCTCCTCAGTTGCAAGAACTGCCATTTCTGTGCATCTTCTTTGCGACCCTCCTCTAGTCTAGTCACATTTTACTTCGCTGGGATTGTGACGTGTTCTATTTTTTTTTAAATTAAAAAAATTTTTTTTTTAAATTTTGCATAACAGGTTACATTTGTCTATGCTCCTGGACAGTTTTTATAATCGTGGCTTTTGAAGGCAGGCAGGCCGCAGTGTAAGCAGCCATTCCTTTGCTATTAGACATCCACATTTCTCGGGAGCCTTTGCTTTCAGAAAAATGCTGTAATAATAACTTTCTCCTCTAGCTCGGCACTGGTTTTGAGTGTCTGTTTTATACCAACAACCCCCCTGCCACCTGCTCCTTCCTTTAAGTTCTTCCTCGTTGCTGTCCTGTGGGATTTTATCAGCTCTTCAGAAGCATGGGACCTCGTCAAAGGAGTAGCCATAAATTTATCGTGAAAAATGCATTTGAAAACACTTCGGAGCTTGTGGGCAATGGTCCACAGGAGTCAAGTGCACAAACTCTGGTGCTACGACAGGGTTCAAGTCCCAGCTCTGCTTCTCACTGTCGTTGTGGCCTGAGAAGTTACTCCCCTCATTCCACCTCAGAATCCTCGTCTGTAAAAGGGAATACCACTTCTGACCTCGCGGGAGGTGTGCGAGGGTTCACTGTG